CCTGTGTCCTGCTGCCATTGGGAGCGAGCCGCGCCTGCATCATGCCCCAACCCCGCACTGGCTGGGGCAGAGGCGGGCATAACCAGAGGAGCTGCAGGAAAAGCCCCATGGCTGCCCTGCCCAGCCCCATCCCCCTCCTGGCCCTTTTTTTCTTTTTTTTTTTTTAAAGCCCCATACTCACCCGCTCTGGCAGCGGTGACTGGGGCCTCTGAGGGCTCATGGCAGAGTTCCCCTGCACAGTGTGAGGCAGTGGGGATTGCCCCCTGCCACTTGGCAGCTGCCTGATGGCATGGGTGCAGCATGGCTTAGCAGGGCACTGTGCACTGTCTAGGAGCTGGGCCAGCTCCACATGTCAGCCGGAGCCTGGCACCGCTCAGCCCCAGTGGCCCCCAGCTCCCAGGCAGCGTGCACCGCCCAGCTGAGCCATGGGCAGCTGTTGCATGGGTGCAAGGCAGCAGAGGTGATCCCTGCTGCCCCCCACTGCCCTGTGCTGTGCAGGGGGACTCTGCCACATGTGCCCTGATGCCTCAATTGCCCTGCTGCTGCAGCCAGTACGTCCAGGGCTATTTTTTTTTAAGTGCCAGGAGGCTGGGCAGCCATGGGGGCTTCTCCCATGGCTCCCTCTTTCTGGGGAGAGGCAGGCACAGCTGGAGGAGTCGCAGGAGAACCTGGAGCTGCTCAGCCATGCCTGCCTCTCCTCGGCTGATCCAAATCACCAAATCTCTCCAAATCAGCGCCAAATCCTCCAAAGCCAATTTGGCCAAATCAGTTCGGGACAGTGATCTGAATCTATGAATCAAATCACTGTCCTCAGAATCAGCCAAATCTGAATTGAATACTTCGCTATTCACACAGGCCTAATGCTTATGTGCTTAAAGTTAAGCATTTACTTCATTGTTGGAAGGATTGAGGTCTTAAAACTGCATTCAGGATTGTTTAAAGTGATGAATGGTTAAAATAGAAAGCAATACTTTACTGCTGTCTCTTCTTTTTCAAACAATTTTACAAACAGAAATTATCCACAAACATGCCAAACACTAGGCATAAAATAACTAATTAAATAAAAAATTGTTCTAGTTCCCAAAACAGAAATTACACAGACCAGATTAAAAAACATGTAATATATTAAACCTACTCCTTGTATCAAAGCCCCAGCTGTCTTATGTTCAGTTAAGAGGCTATGATTTAAGATTGACTCCCAAAAAAACCATTTATGAAAGAATAATTTTTATGAATGTTCACTAATATTTATTAATAACATTTATGAATATTTAACATTTAATAGTTAATGCTTATGAGTATTTAGTAATAATATTTACTAAAATTTAGTAATATTTATGAAAGGAAAGTGAAAATGTAATCATTTTCCAACTAAAACCAAAAAAGATTTTGAAAAGCAATTTTTTCAAAATGTGTCAGGAACTAATAAAATGATGCTATTCTTTAGTGTCCAAATGCTCATACAAAACCATCTTGCATTCCTTTGTGCCATTTGTGAATTCTAGTGTTAGATTTAAATTTTTACCTTGTAGGCCTCGTCCGGGTGTGAAATACTTTGTCTGTTCAAAGGCCCTCGCTACAGCAGGTCCTTTCAGAAGATTGACAATTGAGTCTACCTGTTGGGATCAAATTTCTGTAAGTGGAATACCCTCTTTATAGCAATGTATGCTCTAACAAAAGATGGACAAGGGGAAAAGAGATGCACTTAACTTTTAACTGAGTCTCTAAGAACTCAAGACTTGAGACTGTTAGAATAAATCTTAGAAATTATTCTTTTTGGTAATTATGGGTCAATAGGCATATAACAGAAATTATATATGACAACCAATTAAGTAATGGAAAGCTGAAGCAGGAAGAAAATATTCATTTGCTACAACTAATTTTACTTAAATAGCTTGAGTATTCATCAATATTATTAAAAAGACTAAGAAAAAGGCCCCCTCCTACCTGACCGAAAAGATGCTCCAAACAACTATGGAGTTTGTCCTGTTTATCATGAGAAATGCGAACACTTAAGGGAAGTTCATCACCTGTGTGTAAAACAGTTCTACAATCAAAGTCAGCTTCATGTTTCAGTACAGATTTTAAGCACACCATGGGTCTCAGCCACTTAACTGCACACATAAGTTGATGCTTAGTAGGTTGCCAGGGCTAGATCCAGCTTTTGGACTAGGAATCTGAAAGTTAAGTGCTTCAGCACCTAATTTGGAGGTTCCTAGACCCCAGTCTGGAATCCTATTAGGCACCTATATTTCCCTGTATTTTATATTAAAGAGTCAATGATTAAAATAGAACAACAGTCACCAGAATACAAAACTGCCTATTCCAAACTAAGACTAGGTACAGACATCAAAAAAAGCCTGCAGCAGATTTGAACTAACTCACATGGGTTTCTCTGTCAGAACTATGCTAATTCAGGAGTCAAAAGAACACAAATTCACTCTTTCATGGGGCAGGGGCACAAAGGCTGCCTCCACTGTCTAGCTTGGGGGTACTCCTGCATGCTTCTCAGTGTGCCAGAGACTGCTGAGGGCAGCCGAATACAGCCGAACAGCGGCCACCCCTGCCTGGCTGCCTGGCAAATGCCTCTCCCCAGTGGCCTGTCACCTGTCAGGCTGCTGTCAGCTGCAAGCAGCCAGCAAAGCGAGGCATACCTGCCCCTGTTTGGGGCAGCATGGGGTCCCTGGGCTTTGTCCCAGGTGGGAGCGCAGGAGGACACCCTCTTAATGGCTCTATTTATACTTACTCCTGACTTTTTTTCAACCCCTTTGGAGCAGAGTTTGCTTATTTGTTTCCAAATGGAGCCAGAGGGCTGAGAGCGGCTGTGGCTATCCTGTTGTGGGGGGAGGTTTCCCTCAGCTCTCCTTCCCCTTCCCCTCCCCTCGCATCACCACCCACATCCTTCAGACTCAACCGCATCAGGCAGACCCAGTCCTTGTGGCCAAGTGTGCTCATCACTCTGCCTTTCAACTCACCTTTCCCCTGAAGTTTTCCAGGCCTGATCCAAAGCTCCTGTGAGTCAACAGAAGCCTTGGCTGGGCTGCGGGTCAGACCCTTGGAGGTTTCTCCCATTTCCCCTCAATGAACTTCCTGCACCCCTGCCCAAAGGCTTCCTCCAGATCTCTCTCCCTCCTACCTCACACTTCCCCAGCCTCTGAAGCAGAGCCCCCAGAAGGCTTGCTTTTGGCCAGCCCCCCACCATGTGAACACATGTGCAGCAGACAAGCCAGCCAGTGCGGGGGTGCCCCTGCACATGCAGGTGATGAACCCTGTAATCCTGGGACCCAGGAAGGAGGGAGCTGGCACCCCACTCCTCTCTGCACCAGGGGAATTTGCAGGAGCAAGGCCTGGCATAGGCATGAGCCCAGAGCTGCTAGAGGCAAAGACTTAAACAGCTGAGGATGAGGGGGGGAGGTGTGTGTGTGTGTGTATATGCATGCATGTGCATATGTGTGTCCATCCCCACATCCCAGCCCGGGAGTGGTGGGGATCCTGGATCAGCATTTTGCTTGCAGCTGCCACATCAGGTGGAGAGCTCTGAATAACAAAGGCAAGCTTCAGAGCAGCAGGGGAGCTGGCTGAGTGACATCAGGGAACAATACCTGTGCCAGCAGCACTAACACACACGCACAAGCATGTGTACCCCCACACACAGCCACAGCCACAGCCACTTCTCTCACTCCTCAGTGTTACTTACACGTGCGTGCACACACACACACTTACTTACACATATGCACGCACGCACACACACGCACACACACACACACACACAGTGCTCTGATACTCAGCTTCTTAAAGGGACAATGGCCTTTCTGCCTTAGGCACCCAGGGAAGGAGTGCCCCCCACCCTGCCCCCATCCTCAGCCAGTTGCTGTTGCCACTGCAGAACCAGGCATGGGGAAAGTTTGTCTGGCTGCTTCTGGCTGACTAACACACATGCCCCTCCACCCCACCAAACCCCATGCCATATCCTGCCAAGCGCCAGTGCCAGAATCAGTAGCAGTAGCTCAGGGAAATGGCAGCTCCAGCTCCACTCTCCACCCCTCCATGCCACAGCCCCACACACAATGGCACAGCAGCCTGCAGCCATCACTTGTTCACTCTGGCTACCCTGCCCTGCTCTGCCCTGCCCTGTTGCCGCTGCCTGCCAGAGCTCCAAGGGACCCAGTCCTTCCAACTGCAGAGCATCATGGCCCCTCACCTGGGGAACTTGTATAAAAATAGAAAGAAATACAGAAAAATACAGAACTACAGATGCTCCCTCGTACCGCCTGAGGCTGACAGCTCAGAGCAGCCAAGCAAGAACCAAGTTCCAGTGCACCTCTATGCGAAGTGGGGAGTGGGCAGTCACAAAGGTACCTGAGATACTGGCAGACTGTGACCTAACTTAAGTCAGCAGGGGATCTGGAGTTCAATCGACTGGTCTAACCTAAACCTATTAAGTCTGATAATACATCCATCCAGGTCTATCTTATATTGGGTTCCGCCATTTTTAAACAGTCTATGTGCCTTGAACTTCTGCTTACTTACAGGTATAGGTCAGTTTTCAGTCACTTATACCGGTTTGTGTGTAACATCTATACCTGGCCTAAATAGACTAACCAATAATTTACAAAGCTATGCTTCCTCTTGCTCACACTATCCCTGCCCCAGTTAATCATGAACAGTTTTCTGCACAATAGCACAGATTCCAAAGGAAGGGTGAAGTGTTCCCACTGAGACTAGTCTACAGGATGGAGATTACGACTCTCCTAGCAGGAAGAGTGTAGGCTTGAATCCCATCCAGGTTGTGGAGGGAACTGGGCACGTGGTTCCAGCTTCTGGACAATTATACATATCCCCCTCAGAGAACTTCTGCTTCATTTATGATACCAAATGGGTTTAACCAAGTGCTTGGTGCCCAGCTGCTTTGGCTAGGGCAGCTTTATACGTGCACTTGAGGAATTTTCAGATTAAACAAGGAAGTGCCTCATAAATTAATCACCTCCAGGATTAGGCAGAAGCTGAGCAGGCATTTTTGGTATCACAATTTTGGATTAATATTCCTAAATAGTGATTAAGTTTTTTAAAGGATTTAGCCCTTATTCTTTTCTGTATTTACTACTTCACACTCACATTCTTTTCTTTCCTATAGTATTTTTCAATTCAGCAAGTGAAAATTAATAATAAAAAAAATTTCCATTTGTACATCTTTCATGCGAGGCTCTCACATCACTCCTTCTGAAGCACAGAACTTCTGTATTATTATACTTGCATATAAACTCACAGAAACATTAATCACTTGGAGAGGGTGCAGAGCTAATTTGTGGCATGCCTGTCAAAATGGCTGGCCCCTACTGACTTGGGGTATAGAAAGGCATCCATCTAAAGCACTAAGAATCTCCAGGATTCTCCTGTGGCTTGTATATAATACCAAAGATGCTGACACAACAGGAACATATTTTTTTTTGCAATGCAGAAGGGCTTAGAAGGTGGATTCCTGCCATGTTTCTGGTGTAGGTAGGAGAGGACAAAACAAAAAATCTGCCTGGCAACCTATAAGCCCAACTCTGCTTCTCCAGAGGCAGAAGAGTTTGGCTTGAAAGACAGACTCTTTGGAGATGTGGTAGGGGGTGAAAGGCAAACAGCAAACTCTCCTGCGATGCTGGAGGACCAAGGCACACCCTGTGGCACTATGACTAATTGTATGACTAAGTGTATTGGCATTTCATGTGGCACCAAAAACCATCATGTTGCCAACAAGTTGCTGTGGGAAAGAGCTAACATTTCATCACCATGTTTTTTTTCACAACAAACCACTTGCACAACTATATTCTCACTTTCCGCAGTACTAAAAGGGTGCATTTCTTGCTACAAATAGAATGCCTGTCCATGGCCTCAGTGATTCTTACACTTACCTAGAAGGGGGAAGACCTGGCTCCTAGGCCTCTCTCACTATAACACCTCCCACCTTCTAAATTAGAGGTTAGCCTGGTTGGGAGCAATCCCCACTCCTGTTGAATTTGGCTTGCTGTTCATGCATTTTTCCAATGAACCCAATGGGGGCTGGACTAGATGGCACATGAGTTTCATAGTTTCATAGCTGGTAGGGTCGGAAGGGACCTGAGCAGATCATCAAGTCCGACCCCCTGCCATGGACAGGAAAGGATGCTGGGGTCAAACGACCCCAGCAAGGTGACTATCTAGTCTCCTTTTGAAGACCCCCAGGGTAAGAGTGAGCACCACTTCCCTTGGAAGTTGGTTCCAGATCCTAGCCACCCTGACTGTAAAGTAGTGCTTCCTGATGTCTAGGTCCCCTCCAATCCTATGATTCTGTGACACTAAATCAAAAAGCTAAGCAGAACTTGGAAGCAGGGACCAGAGCTAAAGGCTCTCCTTCCTTCCTTCCTCCCTCCCCAGGGAAGTGTTATGTTGCCTCTTGCTTGCTCTTCCTGTGGTTCCAGGAACCTTGCAACCCTTTATGTGCAGTGACCAGCTTCAATAGGGGGGCAGAAAATGCCTTCAGTCCAGCTGAGCCTCAAGCCTGGCAGTAGAAAAGTTTCCTAGGATAGAGGAAATGTGGGGTTCAACATTTGCAAGTATAGATGGCCTGTGGAGGGAAACTGCTCTAACTACTAGACTATTATGTAAAAGTAGCCACTGCACTAATGTTTTTCAGCAATAAAGAACTTGGACACTGACCTCTGTTTGCATATGATACGTGTGGCCTAAAAATACCTACCAGAGACTGGCCCCTTCTAAGGACTCATGCACTAATTTCTCGAACAGCCTTAGGTACTGAATAGCCTTAGGTACCTGACCACCAGTATCTGGGGGAATGTTTGTTCACCAGAGCACCCCAAGGGATGACAAGGTTGAACGGTTACAAACTACTGCAAGACTGATTCAGGCTGGACATAAAAAAGGATTTCTTTACTGTCCGAGCCCCCAAGGTCTGGAACAGCCTGCCATCAGAGGTGGTTCAAGCACCTACATTAAACACCTTCAAGAGAAAATTGGATGCTAATCTTCCTGGGATCCTATGACCCCAGCTGACTTCCTGCCCTTCGGGCAGGGGGCTGGACTCGGTGATCTTCCAAGGTCCCTTCCAGCCCTAATGTCTATGAAATCTATGAAAATAGGTTCCTTGATGAAAATGTAAGCTGCCTGTAGTATCTTGGAGACCTCATTTAGGAGGGGCAGGGGTTACTGTGCACCAGCCTCTTCAACTTGTATAACTGGATACATCTACCACCTTTTGATGCCCAATTTCCTTTATTAATCTCAACCCCTGACTGACACATACATCCTCATTCAACATTTCTCATCCTCATTCAACATTTCAGCTTGTACAAGAAATTCTTCCTATTAGTCCCTAAGTACATAACCTTGTACTTTGTGCTTTTAAATTGCATCCCATTTCCATTAGATTCTGGGATTATTTAAATTGAATTTGCTCAAACTTGACATGAAGAAGAACATTATGATTAATGTGCCTTTTTGTGGTCTCCCTCTTGAACATTTGTACCTAGTGGCATTTTGTATTCTGAACCTTGCCTGCTATCTGAGATTGTGTTCCCTATTTACCTAAAATTCCTTCTATTTCGAGCACCATAATGCACTTGCCAAGGCCACAGTGGGGAGGTGGTTAAAATTAGTTGGTCTCTGACAGCTTTAACTAATTCAATCTATTTGCAGTGGGATTGGAAGGTTGGCTTTGTTATACAAAAAGGCAGCACATGCTAAACAAAGCAAAATCATACATTCTTAACACCTACAATAAAAAAGAGAATTTACAAAAATAGGCATATGTAAAAAAAAAACACAAAAAACCAAAAAAAACAAACATGAATCCCTAAAAACTTCCACCAGAACTAATGGAAGACTCTGTTTAAAAAAAAAAAAAAAGCTTACCTGAATCCATTTCATCACTGTGAAAGTAAGAACTGCATTGGCTACTGCAAATGCTGGTGAATGAGGCAATGGAGTTTCTGTTGCTATTACAATCACTTGAAAAACAAAACAGAAAATAAAATAGTATGTCCTGATACATGTACTCTATCGAAGCATTACATTTGTATTACCTTTCACCCTTTTTATTTTCTTCTCAAACTAAGAAAGTCTTTCACAATATTTTATCCTTCACATTATTCTAGATGATAACTAGAACAGATACTTCAACAGTCCACACTTCATCTGTGTGTGAATAAGCACTTGAAAATATGTAGTTCCACATGCAGCCTTCCCTACCAACTCTTCAAGCATATGAGTCACTGCTTTGGAGATGTGGCCTCAAATGGGTTAATTTCTCCACATTTCAGTTCTGTACTCCTAGCCTCTAATTATTATAAATAATGAAGCACAGTTACTTGAGATCTGCTAACAAAAAATTATAATGAAGGTAGAAAAGAATGAAACAAAATAGTTAAAAAAGACAATTCTCAATTTCAACCAAGCCATTATTTATAATCCCATCTCTCTAAGATAGATGCAGTGGAACAAGATAAGTATGGGTGGACCTTCACATCTGAATGAGGTCATGGTGACCTCACTGGAAATTACACTAAAAGAGTTTTTGAAAATACAGCTATTGCAAATGCATCTCAAAATGCATTTGAGCCCATAAGCTTCAAGAAGAATTAACTCAATCTCAACTTCAAATCAGCAAAAGTGTCAGTTTAAAATGTAAAACTGATCAAAAGTGGAAGTAATTATCCACAAAGTCCCATCAATATTAGAGAAATGCATGAAAATAGACCTAGAGCCTATAGACATAGACACACAAATCATGTAATCCATTATGAATTAGAAATGCATTCTGAACTTGTAGCCAATGTAAGATTAAGGCCTAAGAAGGGCAAAAAAAATTAAAAGGGAATGTGAGGATATAATTAGGGTTCTGTCCACTAAACAAATTAAAAGACATTAGTAACAACATGCTACTTTAACTGGTTAATTGTACAAAAAATTTAGACATGCTATACATGCTAAGTAATTTTTGTACAATAAAAATGGCCAATCAGCTGCACCATTGTTGCTTGAAAAAAAAAACAGAATATTTTTGTAGCTGGTTTCTATCAAGGTTTAGTTTGAATGTGTTGCATGTCATGAATTGAGTGAGAGTGTTTAGCCAGATCCTTCAGCATCCCAGAGTACACTGCTCCCTTCTTCCCCCTCTCCTGCAAGGGGACAAGGACTAGAGACAGAAGTTACAAATAAATTGGTGAAAGTGATCAGAAACTGGCTTAAACCTATAACAGAACAGAAGTTCAGTGCACATAAACCACTTATAAAATAGCCAAAATCAATTTAAAATAAACCTGGTTGCATGTTGTATCAGACTTAACTGATTTAGGTCTAACCAGTTTATGGAACTTCTGTCCCGGATCCCTTCCCAATTCAAGTTAATTTACAGTCCCCCAGGATGCTTTGCAGCCCTGGGCTCTGCTGTCTGCTCCAACGGTGCAGGGACTCCTTCGCCCCTCTGCTCCTTAGCCTGCTTCCTGCCTGCATCTGTCACCCCATAAGGACAGGGGGATGGGAGAGAGGACAGGGAAACAGACCCCCAGACCCCCCTAGCCTGGGTTCACACATGGGAGGAAGGAAATCCCCTGTGCTGGGGCCTTTTTGACTCTCAGCAGCCCTTCCCCTTCCCAGCTGCTGTTTGCTTCAGCAGGTGCCACAAGAGGAAGGGAGAAGAAGTCCTTCCAGCCAGCTGCTTGCCTCTGCAGCCCAGCATGGGGGCACTAAGAAGCTTCCACCTTGTAGGGCTTGCCCTCATTCCAGTCCAGGGTCTCCCAGCTCCGGGCATTCCCAGGGAGCTGAGGGGAATTCTTCCCCTCCTGAACTCCAGAGCTGCTTGCTTTAGCTCCTGCTGAGTCTCAGGGAGCCTCAGGGAGTGGAGGGAAATTCTCCTGTTCCTCCTCAGCTGATTTTGCCTAAGCTGCTATGAGTCTGAGACAAAACTAGTTTCAGGAGAGTGGAAGAAGTTCCCTCTGCTCCCTGAGGGTGCCCAGGGCCATCCCTGAGACTGGCAGGGGTTAAGGCAAGCAGCTCATGTTTGGGAGGGGAAGAATTCCCCTCAGATCCCTGGGGCTGCCCTGGGCTGGGGGGAAGCCCCCAAGGCTGGGGCTCCTCAGTGCCCCCATGGTGGGCTGCATGGGCAGGCACCCAGCCCAGAGGATGACTTCTCCCTCCCTCCTGTGGCAGCAGCTGAAGCAATCAGCAGCTGACAAAGGGAATTGTGGGGGGAGGGATTCCTCTCAGCTCCCCAGGGCTGCCTAGGTTTGGAAACCCAGGCTGAGGGAAACCCCTCAAGGAGGAGGCTCCCCCAAGGTAGGCCAGCACCTCGATAGGGGGCTCTTTAACATAGGCAGCAGAAGGGGGATTTGCTGGGGCTCAGCCCCCCCAAACGCAGGGCAGCAGATATAGTCACAGGGCAGTCTGGCCACAGGCTGCTGCAGCAGGGGAGGAGGGGTGCACACATTCAGATACCCCATGGAGCCAGGATTACAGCCCCAGTGTGTGGTTGCCCAGCATGGCAGGTAAGTTTCAATCTACTTTCTTTGTGACTGGGCTTGAGGGGGGCGAGATCAAGACCCCCACAGTGCAGGAGGGAGTGGGGCAGAGGCAAATCATTCACCCCTGCCCCACTTCCTCCTGTACTGTGGGGAATGTCCCATGACCCAGCCCGACTGAGGCCCCATTCACTGTGGACCAGGTCGTAGGACAATTACAGACAAGCAGCTCATCCAGGGGCACGAGGACAGGGGGGCTTCCACTGCTGCATGCACTGTGGGGGAGCCAAGGGGGACATGTGCCCCCCAATCTGTGCATGGGGCAGAGGTGGCTGCTGCTGCATGCTGCACTTTGCTCCCTGTTGCAGCTGCCCCTGGAGTGGCACAATGCCACTCCTGTTCCCCCACCAGGCTGCGCCATGCCTCCTGCCCACCCAAAAGTGGAATGCACGTGGCGTCATGTAGCTCTCAGGGCATCAGGGCTCAAAGCACAGGGCCCAGTGGCAGCTACCTCTACCCCACACACAGATGAGGGGGCATGTGCCCTCTGGGCCTCTGCTTGTCCCACCCGGCCCAGCCCAGCTGGGGCCCCATTCACCCCAGTCCCTGCTCCTGCCTGTGCCCTGCTCCCTTCCTCACTGCTGGGGCCTCTATCTGCACCCTCCATGGCCCTTTCCCCTCCCCCACAGACTTATCTGCTGGAGGGACATGCATGCACTCAGACCACCCCCTTCAAATTTTTCTCCCTCTTTGTTCCTTAGCATGCCATTGGGGAGACACCAGGGGCTTGGGGACACTTGCCTGGGCTGGCAATGGCCAGCAGGCTGGGAGACTTTCTCAAGCGCCTCCTGTCTACTGGCCTGGGTCAGTGCAGGCTTGCCCCTGCCTTTCCCAATTGAAAACTGAACATCAGCTCGGTTGGTTATCAGTTCAACCTACACAGCTTAGAGGAAGCTGCCTAGATGGAATCAATTCTGCCTCAGGCTTTTTGACTCTCTATACTAAGCCTTTGTGACTCGTGCTCAACTCCGCGACCCCTGAATGCAGTAGCAGAGAATGGCATACCTTACTGTCCCCTCATCCCTTTCTTCAATCAGCTTTAAAGGCTGCTTCTTTGCGTGCAGACAGAAGTGCAGCTCCCGCCTGTAACTGAGAATACTTTGCAGGAAGCATTCTGAGTTACAATAATCCCCCCCTAACCAAACAGAAGTTCACCATTGGTTCCAGGGGGGAAGGAAATCTAGCTCATGGCTGCTAGCTGCTGGCCCCTCCTCTCTCCCAGCCTGTCCCTGTTTCAGTATGGTAAGGGGGAAAAGGGAGGAGAGGGAACTTGTTCTAGGGGTTCCCCAGCCTGTGCTGGAAGTTGGGGTGGGTGAATTGGAGACCCCCCCCACCTCAGAGGGGCTCCAATACACCCACCCCACCCTCCAGCGGGGGCTGAACAAATCCCAGGCCAAACTCCCTCCTCTTCCTTTCTCCCCTCCCATTCTGAAAACAGCTCAAAGCTGGGAGGTAATGCAGACAGAAGTTACAGAAGACACTATGTTTTGAAACATCTTTATCTGACTTTTTATGCAATAAGGATTCAGATAATCACCCAACCACACATTTTTTAAGCTGTTTGAAGCTGTGCACTTGTGTTTGGTCATGGATTAGAACATTTTCTGTGGCCAGATAGGATGTATATTCTCACTTCCATCTATGCCCTTTAAGAAACCATTAGCACCTCTTTGTAAAAGCCAAGGGGTAAACAACCGGATAACATGCTTTACTTTTCTGAGACAGGAAAACATAGGGGAGGAAATTTGTTCAGAAACCTGTGGACAGGGCTAGCATATACACAAAAGCACCCTATTAGTTCCCTGAAGAGTTTGAAACCCGCTGTTTCTTCCCTCCCCGACCCCCGCCCTTTGCACGGGCTTCCCATTGCTGCACAAGAGTTGGGGGGAGCAGCTCCTTTACCCAGAGAGAGCCCAGCTGACTTCTCATTCCCAGCACACCTAAAGAGAGGGATGACAGCCCCCAACAGCAGCTCTCTAGCTCCCCTTTCTCGCAAGTGCTAGCAGAGCAAATTCTCAAGATTCTTTCACACACCCCTGCCCCCTGGATAGCTTTCCCTTTGAACATGAAACAGGTCATAGGGTGTTACAGTTTCCATCAAGTGATGTTACCTATTGCTTCATGGAAATAAACATCTGCCAGGGGCCTTAGAAATGAGATGACCAACAATGTTTAGACTACAATGCTATGGGAGTTCAGATTTTGATTCAAATATCTTATAGAATTCAGGGTAGGCTATCACAACTAACAAATAGGATAGCAATAAGGCAGGGGTAATTTATCCAGCCTTGTGGGCCAAATGATAATCTTCAGGCCAGATGGGACCCACAGACAGACTCTGTATTCTGCATCTGTGGTGGGCAGTATGTGCAGCACAGTTCTGCTCCAACCACTCCAAGGCTGTTCTGAAACCAGAGCCAAAGCCACCACCACCCTAGCCCTACCATAAGTCCATGTGGCACAGCCCCAAATCCAGAGCTAGAGCTGCTGCTACCATGGCCCTGGAGCTGGAACTGCCACCACCAGCACCATGCGGGGCTGTGCAGCATGATCCTGCAGCCACCATCACAGGGCTACTGCATGCCAGGAGGCTCTGCTGCACAGCCATGAAGTCCCATAGTGGCTGCCTTGCATAGCACAGCCCTGGAGTAGCACGCATCCACTGTAAGACTGTGCTTCTCACAACAGCTACTCCACTGCTTGTGGGACACAAGCTGGAACAGGCACCCCATGCAGCGCGTGGAGCCATTTAGCATGCTCCACATGCTGCCCATTACGCCTGTGCAAACCGGCTAGTATTCGCTTCAGATTCAGATTTGGCTGATTTGGGGGACAGTGATTTGATTTGGTGATTCAAATCACAGTCCCAAATTGATTTGGCTGAATCTGATTCAGAGATTTGGCTGCTGCTGAGGCCCCTCCCTCACTCTCACCCCCAGCAATGGCTGCCCCACTAGCCCCAGCTCCCAGCACTTTGAAGAAAAAGCCCCAACTCACTGGGTGCTGCCAGGTGGGAGGCACTCCACGAACCCCCCCAGCCCTCCCCCACTTTTATAGATTCATAGATGTTAGGGTCGGAAGGGACCTCAATAGATCATCGAGTCCGACCCCCTGCATAGGCAGGAAAGAGCGCTGGGCCTAGATGACCCCAGCTAGATGCTCATCTAACCTCCTCTTGAAGACTCCCAGGGTAGGGGAGAGCACCACCTCTCTTGGGAGCCCATTCCAGACTTTGGCCACTCTAACTGTGAAGAAGTTCTTCCTAATGTCCAGTCTAAATCTGCTCTCTGCTAGCTTGTGGCCATTATTTCTTGTAACCCCTGGGGGCGCCTTGGTGAGTAAAGCCTCACCAATTCCCTTCTGTGCCCCCATGATGAACTTATAGGCAGCCACAAGGTCAGGTTATCCACATCCCTCTTGAAGTGTGGTGCCCAGAATTGCACACAGTACTCCAACTGCTGTCTGACTAGCGCCCGATAGAGGGAAAGTATCACCTCTTTGGATCTATTCGTCATGCACCTGCTGATACACGATAAAGTGCCATTAGCTTTTCTGATGGCTTCGTCACACTGCCAACTCATGTTCATCTTGGAGTCCACTAGCACTCCAAGATCCCTTTCCGCTTCCGTGCCACCCAGCAGGTCATTTCCTAGGCAGTAGGTATGCTGGACATTTTTCCTCCCTAGGTGCAGCACTTCGCATTTCTCCTTGTTGAGAAATGAAATCCACTGTCCCAGCCCCTCCCCCACATGACTTCCCCGCCTGCCCCAGCTCCAGCCCTTTAAGAAAAAATCCCCCCCAAACTCCTGGATTCACCAGTTCCTGCCCAGTGCGGGGCAATCCCCACTGCCCCGCACCATGTAGGGGGCTCTGCACAAGCTCCCCAAAGCCCCGAGGCTGCTGCAGGAGCTGGTGAGTCCCGGGGCTTTTCTCATTTTTTTTGTTTTCTTAAAGGGCCAGAGCTGGGGCAGGCAGGACAGGTGTAGGGGGGCTGAAGGAGCAAGGGGGGGTCAGGGGCTTGTGCAGAGACCCCCACACAGCATGGGGCAGTGAGGGGCAGCGGGGATCGCCCCCCCCCACCCAGCAGCACCTAGTGAGTGGGGACTTTTTTTTAAAGCACCAGGAGCTGGGGTGGGCAGGGGCTGGGGGAGCCAGCAGGGAATGGGGCCTGGCAGGGGTCCCCCCATGGTCCCCTCCCCCCTCCACCAGCCCTCCTTCCCTGCCCCCTACTTACCAGTTCCGAGTCTGGCTCCAGCTCCCTGATGCAGCAGGCAGGGACTTCCCGATTCATTGAAGCTCTCTGAATCTTTTCTGAAGATTCAGAGAGCTTCAAATTGATTTGGACCTTTTTATTGGTCCCTTGATTCGATTCAGATTTGGAGATTTGGCCACCAAATCATGCCAAATCTCCTCCAAATCGAATCAGCATCCAAAGCTTCGCACAGCTTTGTGACTGCCCATGGGTCACTCCAGTCCACTAGTCATATGTTTGACACCCCAGAAATAAAGCTTCATGGTTTGGGTCCAATTTCCCTAAGTGGAGATACAGCCGAATTTGTTTGTGTTCTGAATCATCATCTCACAGAATGATCCACAGCTCTTGTTACATTTCCCTGTGAAGTTCAGGGATATTCAGATCTGGAGTTCTAATAAAGGCCCATCTCACAGTGTTACCGCAGGAGGTTTTACAAAAAAGTAGTCCACCTTGATGACTAAGTTATAAAAAAGTTTCTCTTTGTAACAGATAAGAACTATTATAGTTTGATATTCCATTTTGACCTGCTATGCTACATCTTGCTGTTATATTGAAGACTGAAACAAAAAATACTTTTTGTGCCATTACCTGTATGAATCCCTATTGCTGATGGTGTCATGGCCAGAATCTTCCTGCTCATCACCAGCTACATTAAAACAGACCTTTTTCCCATTCTTTTCTCCCTTGTCATTGTCACTGTCTGCTTGTATTAAAGCCTCAGGTGTTTTACGTTCTGATTTGGGAGAATATGTTATCGAAGAGAGGAGACTGCAATGTGAAAAACAACATTAAAGAATTAGCTGTGTACCAAATAACTATTAGCATTAAACTTCCTCCAGCAATGTTATGCTAAATGTCTTTGTTCGTCCTTTCCATTATTTTGTGACAAATAAAAAGAAGGCTCAACATGTTAAACTTATTTTCATATCCACTTGAAAAGAATGGCAACTTAAAGTGAAAAAATAACATACTTCATAACAAAAAAAATTAATGAGCCAAATTCATGCTTCAAATCAATGTAACACATTAGCATTTCAAAACACTAAATACAGTGATAAAGCAGTGATTCTCTCAGAAGTAAAAGGTTTCCATAGTATATTCTTGAACTTTTGGGCCCAAATTCTTAATTAGGATGACTAGTTTTTAAAATGATTTTTTATATTTTCTGCAAACACCTAGCAAAATAATTTTAGAAAATACTCCTCTGTATTATAAAAAGAGGTGTCACTACCAAAAGCCAACTTAACTTTTTCCAAGTCCTGTAACCGCCAGTTTTCTATGGCTAGTGAGGATCCAAAGCAGTAAATGTGATGGTGATGGCAAGGCCAGAGAAAGTTTAACCTGGCTATTGGCAGTGAGGCATGACACTTCTCCCCCAGCTCTGCGCCACAAAGCACTCTGCTTCCTGCCTCCATTCCACTGCCTTTCTTTATTGAGCACCTGGGGCTCACATGCCACTCAGCAGCTGCCTGTGCTGCTTCTGGCACACATGCAATGGGTTGGCCACCCCTGTTTTAGTACAAATGGAGAGCCTGAACCAGAACTGCATGAGATGAAACAGACATCTTTCAGAGTTTTGGATGAAAAAACAGGACCACCTCCCCCAGAATAATCTGTTTGTTGGAGCACTGACCTGGGATTTGAAAGAGCAAGTATGGGTCTGAATGAGGCAAAGAAAGGTCCTCCTAGATCTTCCAGATAAATATCACTAGCTTTATAGCTATTCAGAAGTGGGTCTGGTTTTGACTAGGGATTCCATCCTGGGCCTCCAAAATCTTTCCCAGTGAAAGTTTAATCAAAACTCAAATAAAATAGTAATATTTTGGCAAAAATTCCTAACCAACTCTAATTTGACCAACATTTTTAGCCAACAGAGGAGTGGTCACATGATGGGTCACTCTTAATAATCCCTTTGGAAATATAGTTACCTTAGGATGTGAAAAAGCATGTCTTTTAATAGGGGGTGAACTGCAACCTTAACCAAACTAATGGATCATCCCACATATTTCATAGAAAGCAGGTATTCTGAACCAATAGGGATCTGAAACTTACATAAGTACAAACATCTTTGCACACAGCAAAGTCTTAGTCTGTCTCTTTGTCCCATAAGCAAGACCAAGAGCAAGAAAAAAACAAAGAATAGCATTTAAAATGTATTTAAGTGATTTATCACTTAGTCAATCACCAAGATATGGACAGACTACTATTATTTATTCTTAGGTAAACCACTATCACTACCAAGACCTTAGTATATACTCTGAATAGTACAGAATTTGAAAGGGAAAAATGAAAATTTTTCCTGGTATAAATAGCACCAGGAAAAAGCTGAACATATTTCTTATGCACCACGTCTTGAAATATGGAACTATGACTTTTTCAAGTCAGGAACAAGAAACCAGTCTTGCATACCTAAAACCAGAATTGCCTCTTTCTTGAAATTTAAATGGAACTTCTTCTCTTGTTTCAAAAGATAAAAGTGATTGCCCCTTGTGAAACAGTGACTCCTCCCCCAGTATGCAGCCCTTCATAATTGCATGTGGTGTTTTGAGTTTTCACCTTTGTCTATAATTCCCTGTCAGCTTCAGGTTCCTCTTTCCCACATAATATTCCAACATGGACTTTTCTGAAGCTGTGCACTATGCAAGCTAGAATAGCACACTTCTGTACCAATTTTGGAGGGGAACTCTGCTATGTTACACCTTCACAGTCTGCTCCTTCTCATTTGGCTTTTTGCAAGCGCCTACTAAATCCATAGAAGTTTCTGGGGTAAAGCTTCCTCAGATTTAAAATCTAGCTGGACATACACTTCATTCTCATCAGACAAAGTTAGGGGACTGGGTTGGTGCAGACACTAAGGCACACAGTTGACAGCCCGTAGACTGCGAGTTTGAGGCCATAGCTAACGTGCTCATAGTGTGGCCTGTCAGATTCCAATGAAACTGGAAATTCTGCTAAATACTTTGTCAGAAGGACATGAACAAGGAAAGGATCAGACAAAGCTGTAGTCTCCTCCATCACATCTTGCCCTTTACACAAAAGGTGCATGAATGACCCTAACAGACACTGTTGTACAATACCAAATACCGTGGAAAAATATGATGATTATTAATTATATGTAATTCAGCAAATATTATTTACTTTGATGCATGCTTTTAGGCCATGACAGCAAATATAGGATCTTTTTGCTGTCTTTGTAAAGTTCATGAATTAGTATGTTTAAGTGTTATGGTTATTATTAAATGCATCATTTTAAAATCAGAAATAAAAACATTTTCATTAAAGCACAGTGATTCAATTATTTTATGTGCTTTCTTTCTCACCATTCTCACTCTCCTCTTGAGAACTAATTAATAGTCATAACAATGTTGAATGCAGTACATGGTCTACTATATTAACAGCTCACATCCCAACACTCCTGTCCTCCATCTTCCCTGTTCTTCCCTGTTCGTAGCTTTTAAGTAGGTCTCTTGAGAATTCTGTTTCCTATATAGAACTGCTTTAACTCTAAAACAAACTCTAGTAGTCCACTGAAAGTCCATAAGGGATAAGTGATTCTTGTAAGCAGCGAAAAGTTAAAAAAAAAAAAAAAGCCTTACCAAATAAATCTGTGCACCTTAAACAGGTTTTCTTATTAATACAATTTAAAGAGACTTTAATAAACACAAACCTAACCAGACTCCCTTGTGCCTTGTTTATATTTGCAAATGTACAACTAATAGAATATTTATATTGTTACAGAAATCAGTCCTGCTTGCATAAAAGAAAGACTGAGAAGTTCCTGAGGTTTTACATCACAAACTGTAGGGAGTAGGAGGAAAATCAATTCCAGCCTGTTAACTGTATATTCTAGAAATAAAAACTGAGTCTCTGAATTTAACATATTGATCATCTTATCATGTTAAAGAACAGTGCCAATTTTAGGACTTTGTAGTACTGGGGTTTTTTTGGTTCAGTCAGCACTCAATGAAACGATTATATTTCCAATGAGTTAATCTGTAGAATGACTAATTAGCAAAATTACTTTAAATGAAAACATACAAATGGGAGATTGTTTGCCTCTTACATTAATTTTGAACACTCCAGGCTACATTTAACCACTTCAAACCTATCACAGTATATTGGATATATGTTTAAAAAAAATCCATAGACAAGCAGTTGAGATCCATTACATTTCCAACACAAGGATGGATAATTTTTCTTTCTGACCACTGATATAGAGCCAGTGCTTGGAAAAGTCTACCAGTCCTGATGTCAGTTAGACAGGACAGAAGTATTTACCATCTTGGGAGATCATGATTTCTTTTTTTTTTCCAGTCTAAGTGAATTTAATTTTTTGTAATGAAAAATAGTTTCTACTGTTGAACTGTTCACAGAGTTTCAGTTTTAAAGCCCCTCAACTGTAGCACTGGCTGAGAAACACGAATTCATATTTCAGTAAAAACCTAGAGGTTTCAAAATTTGTTTTTTATCCCCATCAGAACACAAATGAGACTTAGAAAACTTTTTATAAATTTCCAGAGGGAGAGAATAAACAGCACGCATCATCCTACAATTACCAATAATCCGGTGGTTAGGACAGTGAAATACGATGTGGAAGATCAAGTTTATGTTCCTGGTCTGAATCAAGCAGAGCAGTGAGATAACGCTGGAGCTCCATATCACAGGTGAGTATTGTAACCAGTATGGTACAAGTCTCTCACAAAATTCCTTTCTGGACTTGAAAAGCACTCCCATAGATACAAAAGCTTCCACAAAAAGTGTCAGTTTTGATTAACTGACTTTTTCTCATGAAAAAATAGGCTTTGTCTAAAAAATCCTGACTAGCTTTATTCACTAGTTCCACAAAAATTAGAGTTTATTTTTTTTACTTCTAGTCTTTGCAGTACTCAGTTTTGAATTATCAATATAGAAAAGATAGGCACATATACAGATGGTAAGATTTACTTACTCGTCTATCTGACAGACACATGTTTCCACCTCTCTCAATGCAGTCTGCAATTTGCACAGCAATTTCTGATAGACATCTTGTGTTTCTAAGTCCTCTTCTTTTAATAGGTATCTCAGACCATGGCCATCTTGTTGACCTAGGGAGTGTCCTGATGGGGCTGCCATGGTGGTAATAGTATGCTGAATGTAAACCATGGGATTCAGTTTACCTGCATATGAACCGGATAAGGTCAAGTTAACATCTTTCCTTGAATGCCAGTTTTGATCCTTGTAAAATTACTACATAAATCAAAACTAATACAAATGAAAATATATCCTGAATTTTTTGTCATATTATTATCTTATAAATTCAAACTTGAGAAGCTAAAGCAGTGGGAAAACTGGTTAATCACTTCTTGACTACGAAAAAGTTCATGGCAGCTCTCCGCCATACAAAATGACATGTTATGCAACAGCTATAAAGAACTAGCAGAAAATTGCATGTTGATATTTTCATAAACTTCTAGATAAACTTAAAAATGCAGTAAGCTCTTGTAAAAGTCTTGTTATGTTTAACATGAGGGGCAGTGTCCAAAACTGGTTAAAGCTTAAATCTCTATGTCAGATTAATTGCAAAAATATGTCTTTAAAATTTACTTAAGAAAGCTAGCCTACCTTGTTCAGTAGTTTTATTTTCTTTCTCATGTGAAGTATGCTTTCTGCTGTCTAGCTGAACCCCAAAGGCACTACCAAGAGAAGTTGAGGTTTTAGGATAGGAAACTTCCATCACATTGATATGGCAGTTGGTTGGGCAGAAATCACTGCTGTGAAGTGGTGAGATCTTTGATTTGGCTTGTTTAAACGTAGGCCAAGCTCTGTTTTTTAACACTCTTGAGAACTGGAAGAGAAAAAGAAAAGGAAATTACAATTAATAGTCTTTGCCAGCATTCAACTAGAAAAAAACTTTAGGTATTCAGTTGGAAACCAAAATGAATTAATATTTTTAGGCCTTCTGCATAGCCTCTCTTTTGGAAGATGTTGCCACAAAGATACAGGAAAAACAAACTACTTTCTGTATTTTAAACACTACAATAAAAATACATTTATCTGAAAAATACATCTTTAGAAAATGGGTTTGAAACAGTGCAGGAACATTTACTGACCAATACAGAACAGCTATAACATAGCTCTGAATCTAGGAAGTCTCATTTTATGATGATTCCCAAAAGCTTTATTTATTCCCCACAGTGGGAAATGTTACTTCACAGAACTAAATCATGAGCAATGCTGATAATGAAACTCTTTTTGAAAAGTTTAGATTAGGTAGCACAGTGATATTAAACCAAGTGATTTAGGATTTAGATAAAAACCTGTGTTCTTTCCAATCACAGTCTAAATTTAAGGGAAATTTCACCAGGACTATCCAAAATCACATGCCAGTACCTATTATTTTAATCAAATGTCCTCTTTAGTCAATACATATTTAATATTTCTGTTGTTAAGTTTATGCTTTTGCATCAGAATATTTATTTTAAATTATCTTTCAAAGCAGTGGGCAGGAGTGGGGGAGTAGCGGGGAGGGGGGGCAAGAGGTGGGGACCAAAGGGTGTGGGGGAAGCGGGGGTGGAGTGGAGTTGGACCCAAAGTGATGGGGGAATAGGGGGAAGCGGGTCAGACCTGAAGCACAGGGAGTGGGGTGGGGATAGAGCAGGCCACACAAGAAGCAGTGGAGATGGGGGGGCTCTGTTCCTGCTGGTCCCCCACCTCCCCATCATTCTTGACAGGCTATTTGCTAGTACTTAAACATTTGCATCTAGTACAAGATCCTGGAGACTACATGGGCCATGTACAGACATTCAAGAAACCGAGACAGGAATCAATTTAAGTGACATAGTTTTTTCTAGGTCACCTACTTTAGGTTGGTAGTGAACAATATACACATTTCCCCTTGTGGGAAAGTCAGAGGACTGCACAGGTAGACTATACTGGCCAAGGCCCATATGTAGGGGGCACTCCTGCAAGGCTTCCAGCATGCCCTGAGGGCTCCCCAAGCTACTGGAGACTGCCAAGCACAGCTGAGTGTCCAAGCCATCCCCAACTGACTGCTGGTGTGGGCAACCAAACCTCCAGCCCCCTACCACCTCACTGTGAACCCTCCTCCATGCCCTACCAAGAGACTTTGAGAAGAACCTCAGGGTGAGTGTTCTCCCTTGTTAATTACACATGCCTCCATGTCCCAGCCTGCCCATACCTTTCCATTGCACCACACCACCCCTGCCCAAGCATGCAGACCCAGGAACTATGATATGTCCTGCTTGTCACCCTGCATGATTCTTGCCAGAGGCTGTGGAACATTACATGCATCCATCTGGACATGATGCATCAACTGGTTACCATGGGGTATGGCTTCCTGCCCTCAAACCAGCAGCTGGCTGTCCTGTGTGGGGCCAGATACTAGACCCTGCACCCACCAAATGTCCTGGATTGGGCCAATGACTTCCAGCGCTTTAGTCTAAAACTCAGCACGTTTCTGTGCTGAGCCCAGCACATGCCCAGAAGAGGCAGCACCTTAGTTGTACCCAGCTCTGCAGCATTTGTATAAATCAAATGCTTCAGTGGGGCTTTTTTGGCCACTTTTATCTAATGGCTGATTGAACCAACTTTAGCTAAATGTGTCAAAAAACCCTGCTGAAGCACCCAATCTGTACAGACACTCCAAAGCAAAGTTGACATCTTCCAGTAAAGCATGGGGGACAGGAAATGTCCAGGAAGCTAGGGTTATGGGTAGCCAGGATGTGCTCCTAGAATCTAATAAAGTTCAATAAGGAAAAAAAAGTCATGCACTTAGAACAGAACAATCCCATGCACCACTATAGGCTGAGGACCAACTAGCTAAGCAGCAGGTCTGCAGAAAAGGACCTGGGGGTTACAGTGGCCAATAAGCTGAATATAAGCCAACCATGTGCCCTTGTAGAAAGACATCTAATGGCATACTGGGCTACATTAATAGGAGCATTTCCAGCAGATTGAGGGAAATGATTCTTTCCCTGTATTTGGCATGGGAAAGGCCATGTCTGGAGTATTAGGTCCAGTTCTGAGCCCCCCACTAGAGAAAGGATGTAGAAAAAATGGGTAGGGTCCAGTAGCGGATAATGAAAATGGTTAGGGGGCTGGGGCACATGACTTCTGAAGAGAAGCTGAGGGAGCTGGGCTGCTTTAGTCTGAAGAAGAGAAGACTGGATAGGGATTTAACACCAACCTTCAATTACCTGAATGGTAGTTCCAAAGAGGATGGAGCTAAAACGTTCTCAGTGGTGGCAGATGACAGAACAAGGAGCAATGGTCTCAAGGGGAGCAGCAAGGGAAGTTTATGTTTGATATGAGGAAGAACTTTCTCACTAGGAGGGTAGTAACAGGTTACCCAGAGAGGCTGTGGACTCTCTGTCCTTGGAGGTTTTTAAGACCCTGATATACAAAGCCTTGGCTGGGAAGATCTAGTTGTGGATGGGCTTGCTTGGGGCAGGGGGGTGGACTAAACGACCTCTTGAGATCCTTTCCAACCCAAATTTTTTATGATTCTATATTCTAGAGTCCCCAAGGACCAGGAAGTCATCAATGCCTGAACCAGCACTCAATGGTTTGGAGGTAGTGCCAGAGCATCCTAGCATCTTTGTTATCCTCGGTAGCCTAGTGCTTGTCAGCCATTCAGAGTGCCTGGCTCTCGCCTCTGAGATGTGGTATGTGGGTGCCTGAGCATGGGGGTCCCTGGCTGTGTGCACGTGTGCAAGGACTGGGGTCCAAGGGGCTGTACAGGGGCATGAGGGTCCCAAGCTGGATGTATAGGTGCCAGGGTCAGGGTCTGTGGGGGTATGCCCAAGCTCAGAGATTCTCCTGGGTTCAGTGTTGGAGTCTGCATGAATGTTGTGGGGTACTTCATGACAGGGTCTTGGGGGTGTGGGGCCATGGCCCAGGTACTGGGGTGCCCAGGTCCTGGGGCTCATGCAGGGGACAGAGATGCCTCCCATCCCCCTGCAGCTGACAGATGGCTGGAGGCAGGAGGTGTGGCTGGAGAGAGAGGCTGTGCCTCCTTGGCACTGGAACAGCCTGAGGGGCAGGGCCTACTGGGAGCTCAGCTGGAGCAACAGAGCACAGGCCTCGTGCTAGTATGCCTCGCTTCAAAGGAGGGCCAAAAAGTAGACTGGGATGCCAGAGAAAAGTGATCCAAATTGAAATCAATATGGGAACAGTACAGATGTTTGATACATCACCCTAATCTAAATCAATCTGAATTGAGTATACTTCACACCAGGTCTATCTTAGATTGTTTGTGCCATTTTTACACAGTCTATACGTGCCAGACTTCTGTACAGTTATGGGTTTAGATCGATCTATGTTCACTTAGGCCAACAAGTCCAATTATAGAATTGTTTTAAGGCTGAAGAAGCTATGAAGAATCAAAAAGGGAACTAAGGATATTTAATGATGAAATGTTCCTCCAATATTCACACTTGAATCTCCTACACATCTTGCTCCACACTCCACAATACATTTTGGGAGACTTCTGTTACTATGGTTACATTTACCTTATCAAAACAAGGGCACATCTACTCCTGGAATGTAAACATATTACTAACAGCCATTAAGGAACAGAAATTTTCTGAAGTTATATGCTTGTACCATATTCATTGATTCTGGTCGGAGTAACTTTGAGATTTTTTAAATCAAGGACTTACAACTGCACCACCAGCTTCTAGGCAATGTAGTCATTTTCCTAATGTGGCTGTGCCACTTTCCCTCCAACTTAACCTAATAAACTTTTCTTCTTGTCTCCGACTCTTGTTAATAAAGATTGCACTTCACACTCAATCTTTGGCAAGAGGAAAGGTATGTAAGATACCTAGTGAGTACCTATACTCCAAAGCATATTTCTGATTGCATAACTAAAATTAGCCATCCACCCATCCTGAAAAGTCTTAGGTTTAGGTTAGACAAATATCTAAAGATTTGCAGGGGATCAATTATAACAAGTGATATGGGCTTTACCCCAGAGGGTCGCAACCCATAAAATCAGGTACAAACAAGGTCAGGTAAGCAAGGGTCTCAACTGGAATCAGGGGGGTTTGGAGCAGGCAGGTCAGGAGGTTGAAGTGTATAAGGGACACAGGAAATAGATGGTCACCCTGGGTAAAAGCATGAGCTAGGGAAAGTCAGGAATCCGGAGTCAGGATACCCTGACTAGTTACTATACAAAAGCAGGACGAAGGCAATTGCCAGGTTAAGCCATAAGCCAAAACCTTGCAAGGCAGTCTGAAACAAAGCGGTCAAGGAGTTAGTAAGGCAATCTGGAAACAGAGGGACCTGGGCTTGATGCTGGAACAAGGACTGTCTATACACATGCTGGTTTTGCATTCTAATTAAAACACATGGGAGCAGACAAGATTATTTGACTCTGCTCCACGTTCTAATTAGAACACTCCAGTATTGCCTCACCATCATGTGTATTAAGCCCCTGCCATTTTAAAATGGCTGTGCGGGTTTTAAAATAGCTAAACCCTATCAAATGAGGTGTAGATAAAGCATCCTATGGTTATTTTTAAATGTGCAGGGGCTTCATACACATGACAGTGAGACATTTTAATTAGAGTGGCTGTCCAGGAACTGCTCTAATTAAAATGCTCTACCCCTGAGCATGTGTATAGTCAGCCAAGGAGTCTGCAGGCAGGAATCAGGAACAAGGATAAAGCCAGAAACTTAACAGATATAACCCAGGGAACAGGAAACCAGGAACAAACAAGCAGGACAGTAGGGACAAATAGGCAAGACTGAGGACTGGGAAACTAGGAATCCAATGTAGGAACAAAAATCTTGCTGAGTAGCCTGCTAAGCACTGAAAGCAAACAGACATGCCCAGTCAGGCAACTGGGAGCAGTTGGGGATAGACAGGCCACTTGCAGCTAGACCAACTCAGTAACTAGGACTAGGAGCAATTTAGCCTGCCTGATGCCCCCATTCCTGACAGTCTGTTTAGCAAAGGTCAACTGATTTTCATAAACCCTTCTGAAGTCTCCGGTGACCTAATTTTCAGGTTTCTGGTTTTGTTGTTTCTTATGAGTCCAATAGCAAAAAAAAAAAAAAAGTTTTTAGGAAGAGGTTCCTGGCTCTTTGCTCCATATAAGACAAAGAATTCTCCATGAAAGCCTTTCTTCATTAATCCCAAGGAAGCCAACTCCTTAGGGTCTGACCCCTCTCTCCCAAAACTTCTACAGAATATTCAGGGTCTATTAGAAGTTATATTAAACCTCTCAGCAATATTTTGAATTTCTGCAGTCAAAATCCCAGAAAACCAGTTTGCAAAATTTACATCCCAGAGCCAGATGACAGAATAAGAACAGCTAAAAAAAACAGATGTCAAACTAGCCCTGATAATTCACAGTAATTCAGATAGGGGAGAAAAGAACCCAGAGGTCATGAAGAGACACTGCAGGTTCACCTGAGGAAATTGGTAAAGGCTTATTAATTAAAGAAGAACAGAGTGAAACTACAGACCAAACTTAAAAACTGTTCACTGATTTCTTGTGAATTTAGATTTGGGGTCTACGAAAGTCAGCAGCTTTGTTAATTTCCTTATATAATAACATTCAGCTATTTTACTAAACCAACTAATTTCAAAAAAGCTTCTAAACATTTATAGTATAGTCTGTTAATACTAATAGTGGGAAGGCTACAGTTTATCAACGATAAATGAAATTCTAACATTTCTAATTTAAAATGAAGATGCATTATGAAAAAAGTTTGACACATATTGCCTTAGTTTGGTTAACTGTCTAATTCTCCAGATTGCTTACAGTACTCAGAGTGCTAAGCCTTTCACAAGAAACACAGTGAAATTTCCTAGTTACCAATCAGATTACATTATCAAGGCTGAACATGGCAAATGAAGATATATATACTACACAATGAATGAAAAGAATAATGGAGGGCACAGGTTAAAATTATTGTATGCTAGTTTAGAATTTCACACCTTTGGATGGTTCAAATTTTGACCCTATATTTTATAATAGATCAAATTCAATTACATCTTATCTTTTCTTAAGGAAACAAAGAAAGAAATAGAACATTTTCAAGGGTTTTTGGTTGCAGCCATGTTGGTCTAAGGACATAGGCAGGCAAGGTTCTTTGAGTAGATGTGATAGCTTTTCTTAGACCAACCGAGTAGTTGGAAAAAAGTTCTTAGCAAGCTTTCGGGCGCAATCACCCTTCTTTAGGCATAGGAAGTCTCTGCTGTTCTGAGACTCCAAGGAATGAGAGAAGCTAAAAAGTGTGACAGGATGTCAGTGAGAATGTAAATAGGTAGAAATTAGGTAAATAAAAGATAGAGCCAGGAAGAGAGGGGGAAAAAGCAGGGGGGGAGCCACAGGTGAGTGAGGGAGACTTTACAATAGTAGTAATTCAAGGTAGGAGAAAGAGGCTCTCTGTGAAAAAGGAAATAGCTGGAAATTGGGAAGACAAAGGGACATTTTCTGATCTGTACCTTTTTATAACTAGAGATTCTTCGGTATATATGTTCAATTTTCTCACTGCAGATAACACTGAATTTACTCTGGAGGTCAGTGGGGATAACTTCATTTAAAGAATTCAGGCTGTTGCAATTCTGAACAAAATCTTCATCGCTTTTTGCCAGTGCCTCAAGAATCTGTAGTAATGAAAACAATAGCATACATTATGAAAATGAGTGAAATAACCATTATTTTTCATTCCTGATAATTTTCAGTTATTTATATTGTAATTAAGTGTGATTTAACGTTATAGGAACATTATATAACAAAAATGAGGCTATTTGAGAAAAAGAAGTTGGTTGGAATTAATTCCTCACATTAGCAATAGCAACTCCGACTAAACAAGGTATATTTACTTGTTTCATGACTACATCTGGCTGTGGATTTGTTCTGCCTGTCACTATTAACATAACCATTGGGCGCGTCCCCATGAGCACACTGCAGGACAAATAGCAGTGGCAGGTATTTGTGCTACTGCTATTTGTCCCCAGGCAAGCACCTGCACACACACTTCAGCATGTGGCAAAGGGACCCGGGTGGAGTAGAGAAGGCTGAAGTCAGCACCTGTGCTGGCCCCAGCAGCCTTACCTGGTATCCTGGGTGCTTCCTGGAGCAGCAACAGCGCTGAAGCAGCTGTTCAAAGCTGGCTGGCAGGCCAGACAGGCTCTGGTTTCTGGAGGCACACACTGCCTCCACATGCACCACACTGCTTTTTTTAGCAGCACTTTTTTGACTGCTGGCGTCAATAAAAGCCACCATGCTGTAAATTAGCAGCATGGCATGTGGGTGCACGTGTGCCACATGTGGTTTGCAGCGCCTCATACGTGAGCACTTATGAGGATGTGTCCATTATGTCTTTCTTTAAAGATGTTTTCTACTAGCAAGGGTATACTTCAATAAAACACATAAGTTGTGAAATGCTGACTACTCAGTTATATCACTTCGAATAAAACTTCAGTCTATCAGTAAATGTAATACTGACACATTGAAAAGTATGTAACTACAGTAAGCTCTGTCTTATTTACTACTTTTGTTCTAAATCAGTGGTTATCAAACTTTTTAGATGCACGGCACACCTTGGAAAATGGCAGCTCTTAGTTTTCACTCTATTTTTGACAAAAGAAAGATAATAGAGAAATTATTCTCTTGAAAGGAATTCAGAAAGACCAAAACAGGATAAGAACATTTTAACACTGTAGAATCTTGTTTGAAATGTCCTGGTTTATCTTGTGCATTATGTTTGCACCCCCAGCAGTGCTGATATTGGCTCTACAGACATTCAGTTTCTCCTGGAAGAGTTGCAGCTCTCCCAAGTGAAACCACAAGTGTACAAATAAGCATAAATGACTCCTCCAGGAAAAAAAGTAATGCAGGAACCACCAGGGTTAAATCACACCTAGGAGAGTTCCTCTTGGAAAAGCAAATGTCTGTACACTTTCTCTTCTGAGAGTAGGCACAGCAGAGTCCTCCAGCATCCCAGGGTGCTTTGCTTCCACTTCCAGGGGTACAGTATGTCACCTGATAGACTCTGCTACTTCAACTAAGCAAGCAGAACATGACCCTTTCACAATCCCATAGTGTGCTGCAAGGAGAGACAGGCTGACCCTGAGCAGGGTCAGCTGATAAGGGCCGACCTGTATACTACTATCATCCGTCTCTGGGTAGGCTGAGGGAGTCTGCAGAGGAAGTTGGAATGTGCAGGGTCAGCACTTCTTGCTTTCTGCTCTTCCTAAACTTAATAAATCAAATCTCTGTTCAGGCATCTTGGGGTAAGTTTTTCTACCAGGAAAACAAACCTGCGAGAATTCTCCCAGATCACTTAAGTGTGTGTACACAGCCATTATGTTCTACCCTCTGGCACCCTTGAGAGGATCTCAAACACCCTGGTTGAGAAATCACTCATCTACATACAAGTATTGAAATTAATTGGTACATATATCTGCTGACTGATCTCACTTAGATTGCAACAAATTAAGGATATTATTACAATACTCAACCTGAGGGCCAGCACAAAGTAAAGGAGATATATGACACATTTTAAATCCTTTAAGCAACATACCATCCCACAGCTTCCTGACAGGTTAAAACCTCAACTCTAGCTTTTATTTTGCCTTGACTTCAAACCAATTCTAAATCTAATCCATATCTCAATATCACTTCCAGTCACATTTCATGTGACAAGTGTGCAGTCTCCTTACTAGGTTCAGACTACTTTGGCATGTATATTTCAGCAGATCAGAAAAGTATCACAGAAAGCATACGCATTGGGAAATCATGACATGCAAAATGTATCAATCTGTTAGACCACGGGTGCTCAACCTCTGGCCCATGAGCCAAATGCAGCCTGTGAAGCCATCAGATCTGGGCTGCAGGGCTCCCCATGGGTCAGGAAATTTGGTGCCAGCAGAGTGATGGCCATTAATACAGACACCCTCCCCCCTGTCAAACTCCCAAACACTAAGCTCTGTGTACCCAGTCAGAGCCAAGCCACATCCCTTCCACCTGCAGGTCCAGGATGAGGCTGAGCCATGCCCCACTTTCCCCATGGAACCAAACCACACCCCCTTCTCCATGTGGGGCCCAGATGGGGACAAGCCATGCCCCCTTTTCCCTCCAGGGCTGCATTGCGACCAGGTCATGTTGGAGTCATGTCCCTTCCTACCCCCTTCCCCCTCCTCTATTGGGCCAGGTAAAGCCCCCTTCCTCCCCTTCAGGGATCAGGATGGGCTACTCCCCACCTCCCTCTACATGGTTGGATGGTGGCCATCACACAGGCTCCAAGTGCTAGATCAGAACCACCATCCAGCCCACAGTTGAACCAGGCACTGCCCATCTGGACCTCTGGAGAAAAAGGTTGAGCACCACTGTGTTAAGCCAAGCAGAGACTGTAGACGGGCTACACCATGATATAAATATCACCTATAAAGTCTACAGAAACAAAACTTGCCATAAAGCATCTCATAAAAGGATGGCAGGGGTAGGGGTGTAGAGGTCTTTTAGTTGTTAAAACAAGAGCATATTGAAAGTCAGAGGGCATTAGGAATAATTGGAGAGGTTTACTAGTGTTTGGGACCAACTGTGATCATGTTACTGAAAATATATATTAACACCAACAGTTTCAAATGGCACCTAAGTCCATACTTTGGTATTTAAATACAAGCAGCCCAATTATCAGAGGCATTCAATTTTTTTCCAAATAAGACCACTTATTTAAGTGCCTATTTTCATAGATTCATAGATGTTAGGGTCAGAGGGGACCTCAATAGATCATCGAGTCCGACCCCCTGCATAGGCAGGAAAGAGTGCTGGGGTTAGCTGACCCCAGCTAGATGCCTATCTAACCTCCCCTTGAACACCCCCAGGGTAGGGGAGAGCACCACCTCCCTTGGGAGCCCATTCCAGACTTTGGCCACTCTAACTGTGAAGAAGTTCTTCCTAATGTCTAGTCTAAATCTGCTCTCTGCTAGCTTGTCGCCATTATTTCTTGTAACCCCCAAGGGTGCCTTGGTGAGTAAAACCTCACCAATTCCCTTCTGTGCCCCCATGATGAACTTATAGGCAGCCACAAGGTCGCCTCTCAACCTTCTCTTGCGCAGGCTGAAGAGATCCAGGTGCCCCAGTCTCTCCTCATAGGACTTGGCCTGCAAGCCCTTAACCATATGAGTGGCCCTTCTCTGAAAAGGCCCTTCTCAATTTTAGGCATCCATATTTAAAAATTCTAAATACTAGGGAGCAGAAACACAGAGGTCTGAACTACGCTAGTGCATTCTAAATGTTAAGTTATTTACTAGAGCAGAACTTTTAATTTGTCCAATGGACTGTAATATCAAAAAGGATTTTTGTTTAGCTGATATCAACCTAATAGGTGTCAACTGGAAAATTAAGTCCCCCAGATATTATAACACTTCATAGTGTAAAAGGAAGCTGAAATATTATTTTAATTCATTGTAATAATCGTATTCATTTGCACAGGATGCTGGACAAATAGAAAATACAATAGATATAAAGAAATTAAATCAATAGGGGGTTATATTTAGAATAGGAAGCCTCTGCTATTATCCACCAATAGTATATCAACCATCACATCTGTAATAACCTCTTTCCATGCCTGATCTAGATTTGGTTAAAATTAAAGTGTAAAGAAGTCCCACCCTCTGCAGAAATAAAACCCTATGAGTATTTTGTTTTGCATCAGGTATTTAGCCAGTGAGTCAGAATGAATCCAGTAAATCTCCTAATTCTTTCATTATAATCCTTAGTCAGCACATCAATTAAAGGTTTCCAGTTGCTTTGGCCACAATTAAGGGTTTCAATTCCTTAGATTTAATTAATAATGCAAAACTCTCCAAAACATTAGTTTCATCTACAGCTATACTGAAATGTGTTAAAAACAGTAGTAACTCTTCTGCAGGACATCTTTTGATCCTATATTTCATTAAAATTTAATAATAAAAAAACTTTGCACTTCTCTAGCATCTTTCACTTGAGAATGATATCCTGTTTTGGATTTAACTAAAAAGCCTCACAATTCTGCGGTGTTAGAAAGCAAGGTAAAGACTTATTGCATTTCTGTATGAAAGTAACAGGTGTGGGGGTTTTTTAATTCCCGTGCCTTTGGCATGGTGTGATGGGATGTACCATATAAAGGCAAGTGTGGTGCCTCCTAGGGTCCACTGTAATCCCATTTCCTCTCCTCTCTGGTTCATCAGGGTACCTCCCTATGCTTTCCTTCCACGCCTTTGATGTTATTTTAAACTCAGTTCACCAAAGAGATTACTTCATCCCTCAGCTCCATGCCTCTGGACCCTTAGCTCCTCAGGATCAATTCAGTCCACTGTGCCCTCAGTCCTCAGGCTGAACCCCCAGTCTCTAATAGCCTTTTGTTAAATGTAGTGCCCTCTAGGGCTGTGCGAAACAGCACCGTTCTGTTTCACCATGAGTTTCGAGGTTTGGACGGAAAAGCGTTTTGTATCAAATTTCATTTTGATTCAAAACAGCTGTTCCATTTTGCTTCATCAGAACAGTAAGGCTGTTTCGGCTCTGTTTTGATGTTTTGCTTCCCATCCCTGGCACTAGATCGGGCCCGGGACAGGGAATCAGCCTAGCTGAGCTGACTTTCCATCCCCCAGGCTAGATT